TCACAAGACATTTTAGTAGATAATCATATTGATTGCAATTTGACCAATAATTATTTTGAATATGAACTAGGTCAATCTGATATTATTGTTAAGGGTAGACTTAGCAGAAACATTCAATTTTGGATAGATATTGGTGCGCCTAAATTTATTATAGATACTATTAGAGATGGTTATGTTTTACCTTTTTATTCAAATCCAATATCGATTTGTTTGTCTAATAATTTATCAGCTTTGAATAATGCAGATTTTGTAAGATCGGCTATTACTGATTTATTAGCTAGAGGTTTAATTGTGGAGACGTTAGATATTCCATTTGTTGTGAATCCTTTCACTGTTTCTGTTCAGTCAAACAAGAAAAAACGGTTAATATTAGATTTGAGAGAAATTAACAGACATTTATGGAAGCAGAGTGTAAAATTTGAAGATATGCGTATTGCAAAACATTATATAAATGCCAATTCATATATGTTTAAGTATGACGTACATTCTGCATATCACCATGTCCATATTTTCCCGCCTCACACTAAATATCTAGGATTTGCATGGAAGTTTAACGGTGTTAAAAAATATTTTAAATTTCTAGTATTACCGTTTGGTCTCAGCACTGCTTGTTACATATTTACCAAACTAACTAGACCACTTATTAAAAAGTGGAGAGGAGAAGGCAAGCAGGTTATTATGTACTTAGATGATGGACTTGGTGTACATGATGATGAGGAATTGTGTACTCAAATGGCTATACAGGTTAAAAAAGACATAATAAGTAGCGGTTTTGTACCTAAGGCTGAAAAGTCTATGTGGACACCTACTAAAAGTCTCACTTTTTTAGGTACTAACATTGATACAGATAAAGGAGTGTTTACTATTCCTGACAATCGTATTGATAAGATTATGAGTACCATATCAGACATTGATTTGTGTTTAACCAAAAATGGTAAAGTATTTGTAAGGAAGGTATCTTCCTTGGTAGGACAGATTATATCTACATCTCCCGTTATAGGCAATATAGTATATTTAATGACAAAACATTTGTCTATTGACATTAATAGTGTTCATTCATGGAACAGTTATATACATTTATCTGTAGACAGTATTCATCAAATTAATTTTTGGAGGATTAATTTACATGAAGCCAATGTTAAACCCTTTAAGACTGATGTGTCTTGGCAGACTATTGTATATAGTGATGCAAGCAATACGGGTTACGGTGGCTATATTGTGGAAAACCCATATAATATTGCTCATGGTACGTGGTTAGAATCTGAAGTTTCCACTAGTTCCACATGGAAGGAGTTAACTGCTGTGAAAAATGTATTTTTGTCGCTGATAAACTTTTTAAGTGGCAAGAATGTAAAATGGTTTACTGACAACCAAAATGTTGTTAGTATTGTTAGTAAAGGGAGCACTAAATCAGTACTACAAAAGTTAGCTTTAGACATTTTTAGCACATGTATTAAACACAATGTTAATATAGATATGGTTTGGATCCCACGTACTGAGAATGAGAGAGCAGATTATCATAGTAGGATTATTGATTCAGATGATTGGGCAATTTCTGAATTTGTATTTCAGATCATTGAAACCCTTTGGGGACCTCATGAGGTTGATTGGTTTGCCTCTGACGACAATTTTAAATTGAATGTTTTTATTCCAGATTTTGGAATGTGAATTCGTCAGGTGTTGATGCTTTCACGGTTGACTGGCGAGGAATCAACGGGTTGTTCGTTCCACCCGTTTCTTTGATTCCACGCGTATTAATGTATATGCGGCAGTGTAAAGCTGTTGGTACTTTAATTTTACCTTACTGGCCCTCTGCCAGTTATTGGCCAATGCTTTGTCCTTTTGGTGATGGTTTCATTTCTGAGGTGACAAATTTTATAGATCTTCCTACTTACAAAAATGCTTATATAGCTGGTAAGAGTAAAAAGGCCATTTTTGGTAATGTTGATTTAACTTTTCGCATGTTAGCATTAAGGATGGATTTTTCATCCAGTTAGATCATTTTGATGTGAGCATGTATTATAGATCTCTCTTGATCTCTTCATATAGAATGTTAGTTTTACAAGGAGTATATTGTATTGTGATTTTGTGTTGACAGTGGCGAATATTACAGTGACAATTAGATTCGTAGTATTTAGCTGATTGTTATAATTTTAAATAATTTTCATTATTAATGTTTCCTTTCAATTACAAATATATTTTTGCAGGCATTTGCTGGAGAATTGCCGAATCTACCTGCCTCATTAGTTGGTAAAGTGAATTTACTTCCAGAATTACTTTCGGAATCTCGAGCAGTTTCAACAACAAAAGGATATTATCACAGTTTTTTACGATGGAAAAAATGGGCTACATTGAACGGAATTGAAAACGGTGACATTTTACCAGCTAAAGCCTTTCACGTTGCTATATATTTAGCTTCTCTGACACAGTCGAGCAATACTGTTAGTCCAGTTGTTCAGGCGTTTTACTCTTTAAAGTGGATACATTCTCTTATTGGATCATCATGTTCACCGACAGATTCGTCTTTAGTAATTAATGTTTTAGAAGGTGCGAAACGTAGCTTGGCTACTCCTACGAATAAAAAGGAACCTATTTCGGTAGAATTGCTGCATAAAATGTATGATGCCATGTTTTCTTTTGGTAATTTGTATAATCAACGTATAATTTGTGCGTGTTTCACTGCATTTGCTGGTTTTTTAAGAGTTTCTGAGTTGCTTAATAATCGAAGAAGTGATATAGTTATTTTAGAGTGTTATATGTCAATTCTCATTCAACATAGTAAAACAGATGTATATAGAGATGGCAATTCAGTATTAATTGCCCGTACACATTCAAATAAGTGTCCAGTAAAAAACGTGGAATTATATTTGCAGTGGGCTGATATTTCTTGCGATTCTGATGAGTTTATTTTTCGAAATTTGACCCGATGTAAAGATGTCTATGTTTTGCGTAAAGAGAATACACCATTATCGTATTCGAGGATGCGTGAGCTCTTTATTGAAGCGTTCAAGCCTTTTGTTCATAACATTAAGCAATATGGCTTGCACAGTTTGAGGTCTGGAGGTGCTAGTGTTTGTGCTAATTTAGGTTTACCAGACCGCCTTTTTAAGAGACAATGTAGATGGCGTTCCGAAACGGCCAAAGATGGTTATGTTAAGGATTCCTTAGATGATTTGCTTAAAGTGTCCAAAAATTTAGGGTTATAGATTTATTGCTTTAATTTTAAATTCTTTTATTGCATGATATAGAACTTTCTTCAAAATTTTCCCGTTCTTTGTGTTTCGGCCATCGGCTCTGTCGTGTGGTATTGCACTTTACTATTTCTTGTTATTATTATTATGAGAATAATATGAGGTTCTGATATATGGGTATTAACGGAAGAAGAAATATAATTTCAATCGGTTGATTTTAAGAATTAGAATGAAATTATTTTCTTCTGAATTGTCTGCCCATAGGTGGCGTTTTTAGGTTATGTGTTTTATGTGATTTGGCGGTTAAATCATTCGGCACGACAGGGTCTACTCGATCGGTCACGTTAATTTTTTAATACTCGTTATTTCAGATTATTGTATCATGCATTAAGAGATTTGTTCCCTTTACATAAGTGTTTGTGTTCATTGAACTATTTACATATTTATATGAGGACATTATAAAGATGTTTAGGATTCTGTATATGTAATATATTATTAAATGGTAATTAAACCTGCCATCGGCTCTGTCGTGTGGTATTGCACTTTACTATTTCTTGTTATTATTATTATGAGAATAATATGAGGTTCTGATATATGGGTATTAACGGAAGAAGAATAGTAACAACTAATATAAAGACACCCAACAACTGCAAGGTTCTTGAGAAGTTTAATTTGATTTTCTTTTTCACAATCTTCAATTGTGCAGTATTGTGCAATAGCAAGAAATCTTCAGTTGCACAGTATTGCGTAATAGCTAGAAATCTTCAATTGTGCAGTATTGCGCAATAGCAAGAAATCTTCAATTGCACAGTATTGCTCAATAGCAAGAAATCTTCAATTACACAGTATTGCGCAATAATAAATCTTCAATTGCACAGTATTGCGCAATAGCAAGAAATCTTCAATTGCACAGTATTGCGCAATAGTAAGAAATCTTCAATTGCACAGTATTGCGCAATAGCAAGAAATCTTCAATTGCACAGTATTGTGCAATAGCACAGTATTGCACAATAGCACATTATTGGGCAATAGCACAGTATTGCGCAATATCACAGGATTGCCCAATAGCACAATATTGCACAATAGCAAGAAATCTTCAATTGTACAGTATTGCGCAATAGCAAGAACTCTTCAATTGAAAATGAATACAAATCTTTTAACCAATTTCAATGGGATTAATATAAAGTCTTTTATTTTGGGGGGTTCTAACCTTGTATTACTATTTTGGATATTGGGCCCCATTTTTAAATAGGTCTACATTGAGGTCCAAAGGGTCCAAAATTAAACATTGTTTGATTTCATCAACAACTGAATTATTGCAGCTCTATGATATGCTGAATCTTATTGTGCAATTATATTTTTTATTTTGGACCCTGTTTTCACATTAGTCCGTATTAAGGTTTGAAGGGTCCAAAATTAAACTGTGTTAGATTTCAACTAAATTTAAATTTTTGGTGTGTTTTTATGTGCTGAATATAACCATGTTGTTAGATTTTGGATATCAGACCATACTAGGTAAATTAAATGTCCCATTTCAAATTTTTAAGATCTTTGACCACATTTATTTTGTGTCAGAAACCTATATTATGTCAAAAATTTGATCATAATCCAAATTCAGACAGTATCAAGCTTGAATATTGTGTACAAACTTGCCCCAACTGTTCACAGTTCAACCTCTGCGGTCATATCAGGCTGCGCTCGGCGAAGCATTTTATTTTTTTGGAAGACAAGAACAATAGTAACAACTAATATAAAGACACCCAACAACTGCAAGGTTCTTGAGAAGTTTAATTTGATTTTCTTTTTCAGATGGTAGAACTTGTAACAGGCAGTGGTGTTTATGTTTATGATAAAACAATATCACAAGCTTTTAAGGTGGGAACTGAGAGAGATACGGGTACATACAGTGGTGAAAAAATGGCAAGATATTTATTAAATGTGTTCTGGTCACGGAAGGATCTAGTTGGTGCTACTTTATCAAAGGCTGGTCGAGGGAAAAAGATACTCAATCAACAGATTATAGAAGCAATATTAGGTAGGTAGACAATTTTTAGTCTAGAAAAATATATACTGAATCAGGATAACAAGGAATTTCTTTAATTGTGGGTTCCTTGAAAGAAAATGATTTGACTATATCATCCATTATTCCAAAATTCATGAAATTCGGGTGACCAGGTGTCATAAGATGGAGATTGTCATTATGATCTATATTTCAGGATTCACTGGTTTTGATTCATTTGGAAGTTGATCTAACAATGAAGCCTGCATAGTCAATAGACATGCAAGACAACAAAACTTTAAAATCAAAAGCCTGTCCAGGTTTATTCATTCTGATGGCCCAAGTTTTGTTAAAAAAAAAAAACAACATAAAAATTTACCAAAAGTAATTATGTGTCAACATTTTTTATCAAACTTTATTTCACAGATATTATATATAGGCAACCTGTAATTGTATAAATTGACGCCAGCATGCATTTTGAAAATATGACAATCTAAAACATTTTACTCTGAATAAAAGGAAATATAATAGTTTATTACTTATTCCTTCCTCAATTATATTTTCTAGTGAAATGACAAAAAGGTACAAAGTAAAAAGCATAATTCAAATACCAAAACATGATAAAATCAGAAGGCAGTCAGGGGTAGGGTACACATGGGGACCTTCAAAATCTGCTTATAAAGAAATTATGGATTCTGACAGTCAAATATAGGCTGATGTACTACAGACTTCAGACCATGTGATGACACACTTGAATGTGTCAGATAGCTTGATGATATTACTGACCTACATGTCATGTTTTGGTTACTTTGGTAAAAATTTATGTTTGAGTTAGAATTAAATCCTTAATCAAACTTAAAAAAATTAGAGTTATTACACAATTCAAATAAACAACCAAGACAATTAGAGTTATCTCTCTTGTATATAATCCTAATACAACTGTGTGTTATCTGGTTATACGAACCTATCATAAAAAAATATCTAGAATTGTACCTGCCTTATATTGTTAACAAAGAAAAAATGTCATTATTTCCTTTGAAGTTAATTTTGCACATGTATAATTATTTGATTATGTTTATTGAGGCAACTTATGGGATTGGATGAGCCAATTTTGTGATGTAAAATTTCCCTTCTTTATTCTTAGGGTTCTTAATTAAGTCTCCCAAACGAAGTTTGGGAAGACTTATTGTTTTTGCTCAGTTCTAATAATTATTATTATTCTTCTTCCTCTTCCTCTTCCTCTTCCGCCGCTTTTAAATTTGAACTTGTCCGCACCCGTTCTCCAAAACCGCTTGTCAGATTAACTTAGGGTTTCACAATATGTTAGACTAACATGTCTAGTGGTGCAATCAGGATTTTGTTTGTGCAATGGGGTTTATAAAGGGGTACTTTGAGGGGCAAAAAGAAAAGAGGGTTTTACTATAGAACCCTATGGGATTTTATTTTTTTAAATTTTCAAATGATTATAAATTGAAAACCGTTTGTGATAGACACAATCTTTTTAATTGAAAATGTTCTAAATGATAAAACCCATTAAATGAAATACAGGGTTAGTCCCCAGGGGTCATCCCCACCCCCTGCCATTTAAGAAAGTTCTAATACCTTGTAAGTGGTCAAGATCCCCACCCCTAAACCATATATATTCTGGTTTGTCATGCTAAGATGGTTTGAATGGTATACAGGGTTAGTCCCCAGGGGTCATCCCGACCCCCTGCCATTTGAGAAAGTTCTAATATCTTGAAAATGGTCGAGATCCCCACCCCTAAACCATATATATTCTGGTTTGTCATGCTAAGATGGTTTGAATGATATACAGGGTTAGTCCCCAGGGGTCATCCCGACCCCCTGCCATTTGAGAAAGTTCTAATATCTTGTAAATGGTCGAGATCCCCACCCCTAAACCATATATATTCTGGTTTGTCATGCTAAGATGGTTTGAATGATATACAGGGTTAGTCCCCAGGGGTCATCCCGACCCCCTGCCATTTGAGAAAGTTCTAATATCTTGTAAATGGTCGAGATCCCCACCCCTAAACCATATATATTCTGGTTTGTCATGCTAAGATGGTTTGAATGATATACAGGGTTAGTCCCCAGGGGTCATCCCGACCCCCTGCCATTTGAGAAAGTTCTAATATCTTGTAAATGGTCAAGATCCCCACCCCTAAACCATATATATTCTGGTTTGTCATGATAAAGCACATCAAATGAAATACAGGGTTAGTCCCCAGGGGTCACCCCCACCCCCTGCCATTGAAGAAAGTTCTAATATCTTGTAAGTGGTCAAGATCCCCACCCCTAAACCATATATATTCTGGTTTGTCATGCGAAGATGGTTTGAATGATATACAGGGTTAGTCCCCAGGGGTCACCCCCAGCCCCTTCTATTTAAGAAAGTTCTAATATCTTGTAAGCGGTCAAGATCCCCACCCCTAAACCATATATATTCTGGTTTGTCATACCACGATGGTTTGAATGATATACAGGGTTAGTCCCCAGGGGTCACCCCCACCCCCTGCTATTTAAGAAAGTTCTAATATCTTGTAAGTGGTCAAGATCCCCACCCCTAAACCATATATATTCTGGTTTGTCATACCAAGATGGTTTGAATAATATACAGGGTTAGTCCCCAGGGGTCATCCCTACCTCCTGCCATTTGAGAAAGTTCTAATATCTTGTAAATGGTCGAGATCCCCACCCCTAAACCATATATATTCCTGTTCATCATGTCTCGAACATTTGAATGACGTATACGGTCAGTCCCCACTGGGTTCCCCCCACCCCCAATGTTCTAATATCTTGTAAATGGTCGAGATCCCCACCCCTAGACCATATATATTCCTGTTCGTCGTTTCTCGAACATTTGAATGATGTATAGGGTCAGTCCCCAGGGGTTCCCCCCACCCCCAATGTTCTAGTATCTTGTAAATGGTCGAGATCCCCACCCCTAAACCATATATATTCTGGTTTGTCATGTCAAGATGATTTGAATGATATACAGGGTTAGTCCCCAGGCATCACTAATGCATTAACTTTACTGGACCAAACCAATTTTCACTGGACTTTGTCCAATGTCAGGCGACACTGGGAATTGCGAATTATGGGAGCTTTGTTTGGGAGACTTCGTAACAGCATCCTGTTACAATCATTTCTTGTTTTTCATGAAATTCACAAAATTTGACCCATTCCCTGTTATTGATGAGATCATATGATAAAAAAACAGTTCTTTTGATTAGTTGATTGATTGATTATTGTCCAAAAAAATTGAGACAGGAAATTATGTTATGGACTATGCAGTTTATTTGCTATAGGTTGAATAAAACAAATTTATATTTATATATATTGTAAAAGAAAAATATAGTTGACATGGTAATAACATTTAGATGTAATAATATTTTAGAAAGTATCCAGTTTTATACATGTTATATGATCACTACAAATGTTTCAAAAGTTGCAAATTTAAATGTAATATTGCAACATATCTAGGTAAATATTGTTCATTTTATGCTCAGAATGCTTTGGTTTGGGTAATGTTATCCTGATTCAGTCATTTTGTCGATCCTGTAACTTTTGTCACAGAAAGCTCGACATCGGGACAGTGATCCGGCGGCAGCATTAACTAACTACTTAAAAGCTTTTATATTTTAGAAGGTGGAAGACCTGGATGCTTCATTCTTTGTATATAGATGCCTAATGTTATGAAGTTTCCGTCTGTCATATGTTCATGATCCTTGACCTCATTTTTCAGATTTTTTGTAATGTTAATTTCTCTCTTATTATGAGTAATAGGATAACTATATTTAGTAAATGAGTACCTTGCAAGGTCCTCAAGCCTGTCAGACAGTTTTCATCTGACCTCGACCTCATTTCATGAATCAGTGAACAAGGTTAAGTTTTCGTGGTCAAGCTTTGATGAACTTTTTTCAAATTTGGATATGTTGTTTCCTGTGACTAAATGAAGGTCAAGTTCAATTTTCACGATTTTAGCTTTTACCTTGTCGAGTTATACCCCTTTTCAATAGTGAAAAGTGGTACCTATTATGTGATTGAGTTATTTCCCTTTGAACAGAAATGGTTAATTATATATATAAAGTTTGATTACACTTACAGATAAGATTTATAAATTTTTAAAATACATTGTATTAATGATACATTTTGTGTAAATAGCATTTTGGATTTTTTTTCTTTTCTTTGGTAAATTGTTTGAAGAATTTTATGGTAGGTTTGTTTGTTATTCTGTATAAACTAATTTTCTGAATGCTTTATATATTTTATTTTTTTTTATGAAGTGAACTCCTTTAAAAACTAAGCTTATACATTGTATTGTCTATAAATAAACATATATTTTTTTTACCTTGACCTCATTTTCATGGTTTATTGCTCAGTGTTAAGTTTTTGTGTTTTGGTCTGTTTTTCTCAAACTAAAAGCAATTGGTCAACTATATTTGGTGTATGGAATGATTGAAAGGTGTATATGTCTATCTGGCAGGTATCATCTGACCATGTTCTCGTATTCATGGTTCATTGGTCAATGTTAAGTTTTCATGGTTAAGTTTGTTTCTTAGATACTATAAGCAATAGGTCAACTGGCAGATTCCATATAAGAAAGTGAAACAACTCCCATAAGCACGTTAGGCAAAAATCATAAGCAATGAACTTCTGTTTTTGAATACATGCTTTACTAATAAAGATAAAGACAATTTGACCCAAAAAAAAATTATGAGCATCATCCTTTTTAAATAAACGAAGCCTTAAATATAATGTTTCTGACATAAGATTTGACAGACTTTATTGTTTCTGACATAAGATTTGACAGACTTTATTTTTTCTGACATAAGATTTGACAGACTTTATTATTTCTGACATAAGATTTGACAGACTTTATTTTTTCTGACATAAGATTTGACAGACTTTATTATTTCTGACATAAGATTTGACAGACTTTATTTTTTCTGACATTAGATTTGACAGATTTTATTATTTCTGACATAAGATTTGACAGACAAATTGAGTTTCTGACATAAGATTTTGACAGA